AAGATAGTTTATGCTCTGCTATTTTCAGTTTTTTAACTCTGGCTTTATGTCTAAATCCTGGAACCACACAATGATTACTCTTGTTCCCAAAATCCAGTCCCCTTGTAAAGTTGAGCATTACAGACCCATTAGTCTTTGTTGTGTAGCCTATAAAATCATTTCAAAAATTCTTGCGTTCAGGCTTAAAAACTGTCTTTCTAGTTGCATAAGTGATAACCAAGCTGCATTCATTCCAGAAAGACAGCTCTTAGACAATGTGGTGATTGCACAAGAAGCCATTCATTATTTGAATAGACATAGATCAGGCACAAACTATTTTATGGCTATAAAGCTTGACATGAAAAAAGCCTTTGATCGTATTGAATGGGCCTGCATTAAATCTGTCATGTTAAAAATGGGGTTTCACTTGAAATTTGTTACATGGATCATGTCATGCATCTCATCTGCTAGCTTCTCTTTCAATGTAAATGGGAATAAACAAGGCCATGTCATCCCAACTAGAGGGTTGCGTCAAGGAGATCCAATGTCCCCATATCTATTTATTATTGTCTCAAAAATTCTATCTTGTTTGTTGAAGAACTCTGCTCTAAATGGCAACCTCACCGGCCTCAAAATCTCTAAAAATAGTCCCCCAATAACCCACCTTCTTTTTGCAGACGATACTTTATTGTTTTGTCTAGCCTCCCCTCATCAAGCTGTTGAAATTTTGAATATCCTCAACAGCTACTATCATATCTCTGGCCAGAAAATAAACCTTATTAAATCCTCCATATTTTTTAGCAAAAACACCCCCCCTTCTGTTCAGGCTTCCATTTGTAGTATTTTTAATGGTATTCAAATCTAGTTTTCTACTAAATATCTGGGCCTTCCTCTGGGCATTGGCCACTCTAAAAAACAAACCTTCTCTTTTGTTATTAATGCTGTCAGGAATAGGATCTGTAACTGGAAGAATAAGTACCTCTCCACTGCAGGGAAAGAGGTCCTTATAAAAGCTGTGCTTACAGCCCTTCCTCTTTTTGTTATGTCATGTTTCCTTCTGCCCTCTAATATATGCTCTGATATCTCTAAATTAATTGCTAATTTCTGGTGGTCAAAAGGGGGTAACCAAGAAAAAGGCCTGCATTGGAGAAGTTGGAAAGTTCTGACTCTCCCTAAAATGTATGGGGGCCTGGGTTTTG